AGGTCTTTGATCCATTTTGAGTTAATTTTTATATATGGTATAAGGTAAGGACCCAGTTTCATTCTTTTGCATGTGGATATCCAGTTTTCTCAGTAAGTCTTGTTGACAAGACTGCCTTTCTCCATTGAATGGTCTTGACACCCTTGTCAAGTTACTCATCACTGTATATGTGAGGGTTTATTTCTGGGCTCTGTATTCTATTCATTGGTCTCTTCTTGCCAGTACCACAGTTTTAATTAGTGTAACTTTGTAGTAAGGTTTGAAGTCAGAAAATGTGAGACCTCCAACTTTGTTCTTCTTTTTCAAGATTATTTTGACTATTCAGAGTCCCTTGACATTCCATATGAGTTTTAGGATGGATTTTTTTCTATTTCTGCAAAAAAAAAAAATCTTTAGGGTTTTAATATGGATTATACTGAATCTGTAGATTGCTTTCAGTAGTGTTGACATCTTAACAATATTAAGTCTTCCAGTCCATGAACATAGTATGTCTTTCCATTTATTCATGTTTTCTTTAATTTCTTTGAGCAATGCTTTGCAGTTTTCAGTGTACAAATTTTTGCCTCCTTGGTTAAGTTTATTCCCAAGTATTTTATTCTTTTTCATGCTATTGTAAATGGAATCATTTTCTTAATTTCATTTTTGGATTGTGCATTGTTTATGGTTTAGGAATAAAAGTGATTTTTGTGTGTTGATTTTGTATCCTGCAACTTTGCTGTATTCATTTATTAGTTCTAACATTTTTTATGGACTCCAGGGTGCTTGGGTTTCCTACACATAAAGTCATGTCATCTGCAAACAGAGATGGTTTTACTTCTTTTCTAATTTGAATGCCTTTTATTTCTTTTTCTTGCCTAATTGCTCTGGCTAGAACTTCTAGTATGGTGTTGAATAGAAGTACTGAAATTGGGCATCTTTGTCTTGTTCCTGATCTTAGAGGAAAAGCTTTCATTGTTTTACTTTGAGTATGATCTTAGCTATGGATTTTTCATATATGGTATTTATTATGTTGAAGTAGTTTCCGTCTATTCCTAGTTTGTAACAAAAGGGTATTGAATTTTGTCAATTGCTTTTTTTCTGCATCAAATTTTGAGATGATTATATCATTTTTCTCTTCATTCTGCTAATGTAGTGTATTACACTGATAGATTTTCATATGTTAAACTATCCTTTCATTCCATGAATAACTCCTACTTGGTCATGGTGTATAACCCTTTTAGTGTATGATGTTCCATTCAGTTGCTAGGGTTTTGTGGAGGATTTTCACATCAATATCATAGATATTGGTCTGTAGTTTTCTTAGAGTGTCTTTGTTTAGCTTTAGTATCAGGTGATGTACCTTTAGCCTTTTTTAAAAACATATTTGACATTCTAAAAGAACATTATGATCTTGATGAGCTAATGTTTGGACTCAGACTCATAGAGTTTTAATTCCATTTCCTGCCGGCTTGTTTTACATAACTTTGATTAAGCAATTGGCCATCCTGTGGAATTTACAGGAACTCCATTGTGTTATATTGCTTTAGATTGGAGTTTATTGTGGGAGAGGTACATTGGATCTTATGGATAAGTTTACATTACTGAGGATTCATTATTAAGATTGGTGAGATACTGCTGGGAGTCTACATAATTTTTATCATAAATCTAGTTTTTTACCTTTTACGAATTGACCAGTTCTCATTATAATGCCTAGATTATTTTAGTATTAATGCAAAGATTTAACATAGAAATAATTTCAGCTTATCCTGCCTAGCTTTTATAAGCACCATAAAGCTTCTGATAACATAGACATGTTAGTCAGATATTTGTGACCAAACATGCCGCTTCTCTAAAATAAATTCCAGAATTGGAAGATACCTCTCCAGTCTACCCTGTAACTAGTGGCTATTTAGCCCATTCTGAAAAATTGTAAATGAAAAAAAAGGCACTGTTTTTTGTTTCTTTTTAGCATTATGATTAGGGTTTAAGGCTTAAAATTTTTAAGAAATTCATGTTTGTTTTTTCAAATTATCTCTTCATGCAAATTTAAGTTTATTTCCTCTATCTAGTCTTTCTTAGAATAATTCTTGAGACACTTGCCCTTTTTTCCACCTCCCACTGCTTTCTCTACTCTGTCCCACCGTCTCCACTCCTGCCTACATCTTGTGCCTAAGGCCTGTTTTAAAAACAGAGCTCCAACTGTAGTATTTTCCCCATTCATTCCCTATTTTTAATTTTCAAAACGACAAATTGCTTCCTTTGATAATGAATCTAAGATTGACAAAAATAAGGCTTTATTTATGAATTTTTAGTTCTGAATTTATTTCAGAATCTAGCTTGTCCTTTTCCTTTTAATTATAGCCTACTTAGAAGCTAGAAAAAATTTACCCTAAAAGGAAATTGAAACGTCCATATCTATAATGAGTTCAAAATAACCATTTCTTGAGTAAATTGCAGATGTTATCCATGCTGAACTCAGTGTGATGCTGATATCCTATGCCTGAGTAGAATTTACTGTGAATTTTTTGTTAGAAGCCTTCCAGAGTATGTGTACCTTTAAGGCATTGGATTAGCTTTGTAAAAGATACTTAACAAGTATTACTTTTAAAAAAAATTTATTTATTTTAGTTATTTATTTTTGGCTGCATCGGGCCCTCATTGTTGCACACGGGCTTTTCTCCAGTTGCAGCGAGTGGGGGCCACTCCTCGCCACAATGCGTGGGCCTCTCATTGCAGTGGCCTGTCCTGCTGTAGAACATGAGCTCAACAGTTGTGGCTCGTGGGCTCCAGAGTGCAGGCTCAGCAGTTGGGCACATAGGCTTTGCTGCTCCGCAGCACGCGGGATCCTACCGGACCAGGGCCCAAACCCGTGTCGCCTGCATTGGCAGGCAGACTCCCAACCGCTGCGCCACCAGGGAAGCCCCACAAATATTACTTAATGACATTCTTAATCCTTCTACCTAGGACTGTATCTGTTATCTTCTATCACAAATGTAAAGTTCCAGCATCTTTCCCACTGCTCTGACCCCAGTGGTTCCCGTTTATCTCTTAGCCAGCAAGACCAGAAACAAAGGGTTGGATGCAGAAAATGAGTTTGTTATAAAATGAATCACTGGTGGCTTTGGAGTCAACCCTTATCTCTCTTTCTATCAGATTAGTGTATTGGATGGCTAAAGTTCATTTTTCAGCTTTAATTTGTGGATTTTTTTTCCCCTCTCAAAAGATACTTTGCTATAAAGAATGCCTTACTCTTTTTCATTTTTTTTACCCTGAACATTTAGATTTAAAGACTTAGTTCAAACAGAATAGTCTAGTTTAGGAATATCACAGTAGGATTACCAGTTCTTAAGATAATAAAACATAATGCTTTTTGGATGATCAGAAATCATTTTAGAATCTTTTAGGACCTTTGGGGCATTTGCATTAGTATCAGTTCATATAAAGACTATATATGAAAGGTTGAAGGTATTGAACTGAATTTACTCTGACATACTTAAAAACAACAACTTGACTGAGAAGGACAATACTATATGATATTTATTTGTGGAATATAAAAATCAAAAACAAGCTCATAAATACAGAGAACAGGTTAGTGGTTGCCGGGGGCGAGGGGGTGGGTGAAATGGATGAAGGGAGTCAAAAGGTACAGACTTCAAGTTATAAAATAAATAAATCATGGGGATATAATGTATAGCGTGGTGACTATAGTTAGTAATGCTTATTCCATATTACAGTTGCTAAGAGACTAGATCTTAAAAGTTCTCATCACAAGAAAAAAAATTGTGTTAACTGTGTGGATATTAACTAGACGTATTGTGGTGATCTTTTCACAACATATACAAATGTTGAATCATGTTGTACACCTGAAACTAATGTTGTATGTCAGTTATACCTCAATAAACAACAACAAAATCTGGTATCTCGTTTGCTTAACATTCCTTTCATGTGCTTATAAAAACAATGTAGACTATTGGGGAAATTTTTAAATGATTTTGCTTTCTGACTTATTTTGGAGTCAAACATTTGAGTGTATTATGTGACATTTTAGGCTTTCTAGTCATTTTACCTGAACCAAAAAAAGAGAGAGACTTCTGAATACTTGAAAAATTATGTATTCATAATGATCATGATGCTGGTAAATCAAACCATTTAATTTTAGTATTTCTCACTTTACATAGTTGACAGCATAGAATAATAGCATATAACATCTTTACCAAAAAAATGTTTAAGGTAGTTTTCCAAAGAAAATTTTGTTTTAATATATTTTCTTTTGCCATAGCAGTGAACTAGTACTATAAAATAAAAATTTTATGTAATTTAATGCATCAGCAGCCTTAGGTGTTTATTAATGTTGGCCTAAAAGCCCATGTTCATGGTAAGACATAAATTTGAGAAATTATTTACTTGATTTTTTGCATCAATGTGCTATCTTTCATCTTAGGTCTATCATTTGGCAAGTGTACGCTTACGTGATTTATGTTTAAAACTGGATGTTTCAAATGAGTTAAGAAGGAAGATATGGACATGTTTTGAATTCACTTTAGTTCACTGCCCTGATCTGATGAAAGACAGACATTTGGATCAGCTCCTCCTTTGTGCCTTCTACATCATGGCAAAGGTAACGTATAAGTTGGGGGAAGCTCTTTGCCGTAGTTACCTGTATTTGAGGCCTGAGGTGAAAATCTGTTGCACTTGATTGTTAGTTTGCCTTAAGTGCTACAAGCCAACAGTGGTAAATTCCAGCTACTGTATCTATTTCTATGGACTCTTCATTACTTTCTTTTTTTTATTTTATAAATTTATTTATTTTATTTATTTCTTATTTTTGGCTGTGTTGGGTCTTCGTTGCTGTGTGCGGGCTTTCTCTAGTTGCAGAGAGCGGGGGCTACTCTTCCTTGTGGTGCGTGGGCTTCTCATTGCAGTGGCTTCTCTTGTTGCAGAGCACAGGCTCTAGGCCTGCAGGCTTCAGTAGTTGCAGCACGCGGGCTCAGTAGTTGTGGCTCACGGGCTTAATTGCTCCGTGGTATGTGGGATCTTCCCGGACCAGGGATCAAACCCGTGTTCCCTGCATTGGGAGAGGCAGATTCTTAACCACTGTGCCACCAGGGAAGTCTTTCATTTACTTTCATAGTAATCAGCCTTCTTGCTTCATAGGAATACACTGGTTGTAAAAAAAAATTGGAAAAGATCTTAGAGACCATTTTTGGTAAAATGGTTCTCCACACTATTAATGGAGAACCATTTCCACCATCACCCCGTGACACCTCTAATCTTGTACTTTAAAGTAAAATGATCGTTACATTTTAGGCGAGTAACTGAGGCCCAGAGGTGAAAGTAACTTGGCCAAAGTTACACAATAAGTGACAACCTATGTTCTCCTGATTCAGAATCTGGTATAAAATAGCTTCTATACTTTATTGCTTTCCAGTGATTTATTCTGTTGCCTCAGAAGAGCATTTTACTTTCTAGTTGCTACAATATGTTTTAAGTCATAAAATGGCATATCTTACTTGTCTTTAAAAATTCTAATAGGTCTGAAACAATCATCTGTACCTTTGGTCTTGATCATATTGGCCACACTACCAGTCCTAGCAGATGTAGATGTTACAACCTAATTTTTCAGCTTTTTGAGGCAGAGGACATGTTCTCAAACTCCTTTGTGACTTCCTTCTCACATTACATCTTTAAAATCTCTATACAAAATAGGTATTAATAAATGTTATTAACTAATCTTTTTTTAAGCTGTTACTATTTTTATTATTTCTCTTAAGGATACCAGAACCCTAAAAAGCAGCATTGGGTTTATAACTTACAGAGAGTTACAAATATTTCCTTCTGTGGTTACAGTTTTTATACATTTATTCCACAACAACTAGATAACATACAGCACGAAAAAGACCACATAGTTACTCCCCTTTTATAGTCACATTCTACATTGGCATCCATACTAATAATCCTTTATATTGGTATCACTCTTTCCTCTTTTAAAACCACACCAATTTGCATACCTCATTTATTTTACCATTCCAAGAATCTCTAGGGTTATTAGGACTCTGTGCTTTCACTGCCGAGGGCGCAGGTTCAATCCCTGGTCAGGGAACCAAAATCCCACAAGACACATGGCATGGCCAAAGAAAAAGAATCTGCAAAGTCAAAACAGTAACAATAACAGCAACAACAAAACCAAAAGTTGTCCCAGAGCTAATAATATTACTGGGGTTCCCAGCAGAAGCAAACTACTTTGAGGTATGAAACACTCAACCCTGAAGCCATTCAGTATTCACACAAATTAAATCCTTATTAAAACAGAACTAAAAAATCCAAAATTATAAAACAATCAAGGAAATAAGCCAATGTGAGTATGTCAACAGATAAAATTTAGAGCAGGTTAGATATTCAAAAATTTCAGGTAATGGAATTATTGATCTCAAATTATGCAATTATATGTTTTAAATGATTCAATGTATAAAGGAAAATTCTTTTTATGAACAAAGGCCAAGTCACTTTAAAAAGGACCTGAAAGATGTCAAAAAGAACTGAATGAAACTTGTAATGGAAACAAATTCCAAGCCAAAAGACTCAATGGATTAGAATGTAGAGCTGAGGAAACGAAAAAACAGCATATCACATAGAGATGGAAAATACAAAAAATCAAGAGACATAGAGTTACGAAACATTTTTCTTGTTCCCATCCTCTTTTGTTCTCTTCTCTTGTGATTTGATGACTAACTTTAGTGTTGTGTTTCAATTCCTTTTTCTTTTTTGTATGTGTATCGTAGATTTTCAATTTGCGGTTACCATGAGGATTTGATATAGCAATCTATATATAAACAAGATTGTTTTAAATTGCTGGCCTCTTAATTTCAAATGCATTTCCAATATCCTGCATTTGCGTTCTCCCCTTCTTGTAATTGCTGGTTTTGATATCATATTAGCATGTGGATGATTTCCTACCTTTACTGTATGTTTGCCTTTACTGGTGAGCTTTTCCATTCGTAAGTTTCTTGTTTCTAGTTGTAGCCTTTTCTTTTCTGCTTAGAGAAGTTCCTTCAGCATTTGTTGCAAAGCTGGTCTGGTGGTGCTGAATTCTCTTAGCTTTTGCTTATCTGTAAAACTTTTGATTTCTCCATCAAATCTGAATAAGAGCCTTGCTGGTTAGAGTATTCTTGGTTGTAGTTTCTTCCATTTCATCACTTTAAATACATCATGCCACTCCCTTCTGGCCTGCAGAGTTTCTGCTGAGAAGTCAGCTGATAACCTTATGCAAGTTCCCTTGTATGATAACCTTATGCAAGTTCCCTTGTATCGTTTTTCTCTTGTTGCTTTTAGTATTTTTTCTTTAATTTTTGTCAGTTTGATTACTCTGTGTCTCGGTGTGTTCTTCCTTGTGTTTATCCTGCCTAGGACTCTCTGCCCTTCCTGGACTTGGGTGACTGTTTCCTTTCCCATGTTAGGGAGGTTTTCAGCTGTTATCTCTTCAAAGATTTTCTCAGGTCCTTTCTGTCTCTCTCTTCTCCTTCTGGGACCCCTATAATGTGAATGTTGATGCATTTAATGTTTTCCCAGAGGTCTCTTTGACTGTCTTCATTTCTTTTCATTCTTTTTTCTTTATTCTGTTCCACGGCAGTGATTTATACCATTCTGTCTTCCAGGTCACTTATCCAATCTTCCACCTCAGTTATTCTGCTATTGATTCCTTCTAGTGTATTTTTCATTTCAGATATTGTATTGTTCATCTCTGTTTCTTTGTTCTTTAATTCTTCTAGGTCTTTGTTAAACATTTCTTGCATCTTCTCTATCCTTGCCTCTGTTCTTTTTCTGAGATCGTGGATCATCTTCACTATCATTTTTCTGAGTTCTTTTTCCAGAAGGTTGCCTGTCTCCACTTCACTTATAGCTGTTCTTCTGGGGTTTTATCTTGTTCCTTTATCTGGGACATATTCCTCTGCCGTTTCACTTTGTCTGACTTCTTGTGATTGCGGTTTCCATTCTGCAGGCTGCAGGATTGTAGTTCTTCTCGCTTCTGCTGTCTACCGTCTTAAATAATCATTTGTGTTTTTTTGAAAACTACCATAGCTCAGGCTTTGCCATTTCTGTGGAGAACATCATTATGGAGAACAGGTTTAGTGCTAATGGACAGTGAAGGAGAAGAAAAGAGTAATTTAAGTGAACTCTGTGATAATAAATAGACTAGAAGGGATTCCTTTATGGATCACTAATTTATTTTCTTTCTTTTGGCCACCACTGTGACTTTTCTAAGTGTTAAAACCCTATAGTCTGTTCTGAACTATTAAAAGCCTAATCCTGTAATACCCTCTGTCTTATTGTGAATCACAAGACATTTTCTATCCTTTAGTATGTGGTTAATTTTAAATAAGTACTTAAAAACTAATACAACTGGAGACTGCAAGGGATTCAGCAGATCTGAGTTTTCTTATATCATTCTTTTTTATAAAGAAATGCATTTTTGGTAGTTATATCATAGCAATCTTAGTGCTTTTGATTAATGAAACTATTAGCTGAGTCTCCACAGGCCACAAAGCCTGAACTTTTTTTTTTTTTTTTTTTTTTTTTTACTTTTCATTTATTTGTGCTGCAGTGGGTCTTCGTTGCTGCATGTGGGCTTTCTGTAGTTGCGGTGAGCGGGGGCTACTATTCGTTGCGGTGCTCGGGCTTCTCACTGCAGTGGCTTCTCTTGTTGCGGAGCATGGGCTCTAGGCACATGGGCTTCAGTAGTTGTGGCACATGGGCTCAGTAGTTGTGGCTCACGGGCTTTAGAGTGCAGGCTCAGTAGTTGTGGTGCATGGGCTTAGTTGCTCCGCGGCATGTGGGATCTTCCCGGACCAGGGCTCGAACCCGTGTCCCCTGCATTGGCGGGTGGATTCTTAACCACTGCGCCACCAGGGATGTCCCCAAACCTGAACTTTTAAGGTAGTAAAAGTCATAAATGGTAGTGGATTTTAGTTATTGAGTGGCCTGGGGTTAATGGCTTTCTGCAAGACTCCTCTCAATGCTAACCTGTAATTGAAGTTTTTGTTCAGAGCCATTTTTCTTTTAAAAGCAGTTGATAAATGCAGTTCTTATTTTCCTTAGGTAACAAAAGAAGAAAGAACTTTTCAAGAAATAATGAAAAGTTATAGGAATCAGCCTCAAGCTAATAGTCATGTGAGTTACATTATTTTTCCTCCTGTCCCAAAATAGATTTGTACTATTTCTCTGCTGACAAGTCATGTAAAAGGTAAACTTCTTTTCTAGTTTTACTATAGATTTTTTGGTTTAATGGACACCATTAAACTCGAGACAGTTTTAATTAAAAAACAGTTTCAGTGGAAGCCAAAAATCTTGCTGTTTCTGACTAATCTATATTATTTATTTATTTATTTATTTATTATTTATTTATGGCTGCATTAGGTCATCATTGCTACACATGGGCTTTGTCTAGTTGCGGCAAGTGGCGGCTACTCTTCGTTGCGGTGTGCAGGCTTCTCGTTGCAGTGGCTTCTCTTGTTGCGGAGCACAGGCTCTAGGCACACGGGCTTCAGTAGTTGTGGCACACAGGCTCAATAGTTGGCTCACAGGCTCTAGCGCGCAGGCTTAGTAGTTGTGGCGCACGGGCTTAGGTGCTCCACCGCATGTGGGATCTTCCTGGACCAAGGATCGAACCCATTTCCCCTGCATTGGCAGGCGGATTCTTAACCACTGCACCGCCAAGGAAGTCCCTATATATTATATATGCATATACTTCTCACACGTTCTCTTATTCCATTTGTTCATTTATTTGAGTAGGGACATTTTTCACTAATGAAAAATATTTATAATAATAATATTCTTTAATCATATAAGACTTGATTCTCTGATGATGTTTAAATCCAGTGAAATTTGAGGATATATTAAATTAAGTCTAGCTTCTTTTTCCATCTGATAAGAATCTTAATGTTTGCATCTTTGAATAGATATCAGGCATTTCTGATATAATAGCCCTGGTGAGAATTCTGTACAGTCTTTCAGTCATGGAAATATAAAATGTTAGCGTGACCTGGCACATAGTAAGCATTTAATAACTGTTAGCTCTATATTATTGTTATTATTGTAGCTGAAGAACACAGGATTAGGTTACCTTAAGGCCTTGGTCATTCAAGAACCTGATTGCTCTGCTCTAAAGGAGCATAATGGCCTCTTCTCTGGCCCAGTGATCTGCCACCTTTGACAAAAAGAGAGATGTGGTAGCTCAGATATCCCTGGCCCCAGTACCAGTAGCCATACCCCCTTCTATCAGAGTCCCACAGATAGTTTCACTTCTTTACTTAAGCCCCAGATACACTGCTAGCAATATAGAGATATTAGAAGAGCCAAGTATAGGCATTTCTTACACCCTGTGACAGGGTGGAAGAGGCCTGGTTTCCAGGCCTCTTCAGAAAAATCCCTTAGGAACAGAGCTTAGAGAGGTTCAGAGTATCCCTTAAGATCATTAAGTTAATGTGGGTCAAAAATGGTTTAAGCCACAGCTTCCTAAATATTCTCTCAATACCGATATCCATAGGATGAGGGGGAATGGATCATTCCTTTCAGCTACCTTGGAGGTTAAAAACAGTTTAGGGGCAGGGAGGGGAACAGATTTTCATGTGGCCATGTGAAAGGAGATGGGTGTGGGATGGGAGCAGGAAAACAAGCCCCAGTGAGATCAAATGAGTCTCATGTAAGAAATTAAAAAGAAGAAGGAATAGGTTCATATCTTTTAAGTTGCTTTTATTTGGCAAAATCTTCTCATCAGTGTTTAGTTGCTCCTTACTTAATTCTTCTATTTTGTAACCTTCTGCAGTGGTAAGCTGGTGGTAAGCTCTGCTTCAGTATCCCCTCTTCTAAGATGTTTGCCGTAATCTGCATTTACCAAGGGCTACTAACATCTTGCCCTTGATTATCACCCGTACAGACAAATACTTTTTAATTGGCTTGATATCTTGTTCTTATTTTGGTTTTGCTTAACCTGTGCCTCTTTGTGACTCAGCAGTCCTTTTTGTCCCCTCTGATCTATATAGGTTTACAGAAGTGTACTGTTGAAAAGTATTCCAAGAGAAGTTGTGACATACAATAAAAACCTAAATGGTGATTTTGAAATGACAGATTGTGGTAAGTTGCCCAATTTAAGATTCTATATGTAGTACACTGTTGGTTACATTGTATATAATACAGTGGATGTCCTGGAGTTAATTGTGTAGGTGGGGTGGATAATGCATATGTGTTGGAAAGAAGCAAATGACTTTGAGATAAATATGGGTCAGGTACCTCCCTCCACAGAAGTTGTGTATTGAAACCATTAATTTATCGCATGTTAACTGTGTTTTAGAAGTTTTCTAGTATACTTATACACATTAATAAAAACTCATAAAAGACAATAAAATTCAAAACTAAATCTGAATGACAGGGAAAGTAAGATAGCTGTCAGTGATTTGCCTGTGGAGAACATTAAGGAAATGTCCTGTTCATTAATAAGTGTATAGGTATTCTGCCACCATCAGCAAAAGCAAGGTCGCCACCTTGTTACTACCATCATGCTAAGACTTCAGGCACTAGTAATTTTTTTGAAAGAAAGAAGAATCAAATGTTCAGTATTCATATGTTGATAAGTTGTAAAAATGCCTTTTCAGCCCATCTCTTTTCCTTGTCTCATCTGTCTCCTTTTCCTTGTCTCACTTTCTATCACTTAATGTATATATATGTGTACATGTGTATATAAGTACTGTAATTTATTTAATTTCACAGTGTGGGACTTTTAGGTTGTTTCCAATTATACACAGCTTTGCAAGGAACATCATTGTAGGTTGATCTTTGGTCCACATCCTTAGGGTAAATTCTTAGAGAAAATTGACTGGGTCAAAGACATTTTTTTTTAATTACCCAAATATCCATGATAATTATGGTGTCTACTGGGATCTGAACTTTTAAGATCTTAACAAAAAATTCTTGAATAATAATGTCCTAGAATCTGATCCCATCTAGGGTTA